ACTTCTAAACTCTGTAACTTTCACATATGAGCTCTATTTTCGACATTCTTTATATCCACGCATAGCCATTGACAAGATCTACGACTCTCCTTTTGACTCTGTCGGTTAATTCTCGACCAATTTATATTTAACAATATGAGAAGATGACACTGTTAAATAACCGTGTAAAATTCATAACTTCTACATACGGACTCCAGTTTCGTCTGTCTTTTTATTGTTGAGCTCTTATTAATGAGATCTTTAAATCTAATTTAGGTTGCATTGGCCAGAAATCGATCGATCTAAAATTTGAATTTCGGGTTGTGCACTGTTATGTCTAATCTTAGAAAAATCATAATTTCCTCATACAAAATAAGATTTGAGCGTTCTTTTTATGCACGCTCTCGGTGTAACGTATACTACAACTTTCATTTGGATCTCTAAGGCTAAAAAGAGTTTATCAAAAACTCACTTTTTACGTTATGCGGTGTTGTGCCGGTTTAGCCGTAAAACCTCGACGGGTCATAATTTCTTCGTTATAACTTAGATTTTGGCGTTGTTATATTTCCGAAATTCTTATCACAACCACTACCACTTTCTTCATAGATATTGGGTTTGTCTACACTTTTATTTTTAGCGCTTATTTTCATTATTAATTTATTATATCTTTATAAACAAGTATATAAGCACATAAAATCACATAATTCACATAATATTCAAGTAATTCCTTTTTATTACTTCAAAATGAGTTAAAATGGTTGACCTTGACTATTACATCATTATACTAATGTGTAGCCCAGAAATACGTGTTACATTCTAGCTCCGAATGGCCATGCATGTGGATAAAGCTTGAAGCTTTACGTGATCTTCCCATCCCTAGATTCCAGATCTATGGTTTGGAGGCATTAGACTCACTTCGAAGGGACTGAATGAGTTGAGACTACGAAAACTCGACAAGTTGCTTATCCAACTCGGCGAGTTGATTCGTGGTCCCCAGACTTTTCTGATCATGGAGCAAACCCAACGAGTTATAGAGATGACTCGACGAGTGGGATGGGGTTTTCTCGGGTTTCTGAAGACTGAAGGGACTCGAAAATTTCAAGGATGGACTCGACGAGTTGGGTTGAAATGTCCCGATTTTGTAAAGGGAAAACTCGACGAGTTCAAGGATAACTCAACGAGTAGAATGGGAAAGTCCCGATACTATGGACATAAGGAACTCGACGAGTTATGAAAGAACTCGACGAGTTGGATCGCAGTTTCTGAGTTTTATGAGTTATGGAACTCGACGAGTTAATGTCACTCAGTGAGTTGAGTCAACTCATGACGTTGACTTTGACCAAGGTTGACCCCTATAGGGCTATGAAATACAGAATAGGTTTTAAAAAGTAGTTCCATGTAAGGGTTAGGACCAATTGGAAATTAGGCCATATATTGGGCTTTTATGGATTTTATGGTTTTGAACCTTATTGGTTTTGGACTTAGGTCTTAGTTAAGGGTTTTGTTGGGCCAGGGGTAAAATAACCATTTTACCCTAAGATTTGGTCTATGGATCATGGTTTGAGACTCAATTGCTAATTGGGTGATTTTATGGTATTGATAGCTCAAGGAGTTGCAAGGGCGACAACTAAGGATTTCCTGTAATGGACTTCAGCAGTGTGAGGTGAGTAAATAACTAGTAGAAGTGGGTCGAAGGCACCAATGTCTGCCCACTAGTAGTTGTTTATAACTGAGATGATTGTCTTTGTGATAATTGTCTGGTATGGCACTATCTGTTATGTTTTATGTGCTAAGATGCTATGATATTATGTGATAGTGGTAAGAATGGTGAAATAGTTGCTGGTTGAGATAAACCAGAGGGTAGGTCGGGCACCCCAATATGTCTGACTGGGGTAGGTCGCACACTCAGGTATGTCTGACATGGGTAGCTCGGACACCCTGGTATGTTTGACAAGGGTAGGTTGGGCACCCCGGTATGTCTAACAGGGGCAGGTTGAGCACCCCAGTATGCTCAACAGGGTAGGTCGGGCACCCAGATATGCCTGACAGTATGTTTATTGTATGATATGAGGTATGATGGGGAAACTTACTAAGCTTTGTGCTTACGGTTTTCAGTTTTCATTTCAGGTACTTCTTTTTCAAAAGGGAAGGAGTCAGCTGGATCGCAACGCATCACATATGATTTCCACATTATGAGATCTTTGGGAGTTGTACTCTGATAATACTTTTCTATGACATGTTTTAGTTATTTGAAATACTGGTTTTTAATTATGAAATGAGTTAACACTATGGATGTTTCAGACTACTTTTTTTTTTATAACTTATCTAATTAAAATGAAAATTTTGGTCTTGAATTTTGGGATGTTACACACTATAACAACGGGTTTACGGCACCAAGGACGACCCAATATCCATTTATGTTATATGCTATTTGTTGTATGTTACATGATTGGGTTGAAATATACCCCAGGGCAGGGCCTACTGTGATATGCATTGGGTTGAAATACACCCTAGGGCGAAGCCCTAGGGCAGGGCCCATACTTGTTTTTAGGTTGGGATGAACCTTAGGGTCGAGACCATTTGTTTGGTTGGTATCTGTTACTTTGGGAAAACTCACTAAGCATTAGTTTATAGTTTGTATTGTGATTTCAGGTGCATTCGGTTCTAAAGAGAATGGCCCGACTTGATGGCACAACATTCACTCTCCACTATTTTCCACATTCATTGATATGGACACTCTGATGATTTTTTATAATGATGATTATGTGTTGGATTTTTAATATCAAACTCATGCTTGTAAACCTTAATTAAAATTAAAAAATTTATCTAGATTTTGGGCTGCTACAGTGAGCCTACATTCAGAACCCAAATCTGAAATGCATTACATGTCCAAATGTAAGCCCAAGCAATCTCATAACAGTTCAAAGTCCCTTTGTCATGATGCGATCATCGAGATCCCCATCGAATAGGCTGAAAGATTCCATTGGGTTAAGAACCCTGGGAAATTAATGGCCCATTGCCATCTGCATCCACTTCGTTGATCATTTCCTAGAGCTCAGCTTCTCTTATTTGTACATCGCCCTGTAAACAAGAGTCACCGGAGGACTCAAACAATGATGCTTCATGGATTATTCACAGGGCGCCGGAGACTGGAACTTTGCCGAAAAGATGTGAATCGAACCACATGAACACCTCGACACCCAATCGTTCTAACTCCATAACACTCCACTAGGTTTTCCTTGTTATGACTATATTCAATGGTATACATATCGAGAATGATAGAAATATATGAACTAATGGAACATCAAAGGCCATGATTGTCTTAAATTGAATATTAGGAAAACTAAGCTAGTTTGGACTTTATTTTGTGGTAGTAATCATGATGAGGGTTTATTCCTTGTCGTCATTAGTGGTGAAGCTTCTAGGGTGCTGCTAGTAAAGACATGAGTTTTATTAGCAGGTTGATTATTAGAAGAGTTGTCAACATTGTTGTGCTACTGCATATTCTTCCAAGGTTTAGTGACTCATAAAGTGAGCTCCTTTTTCTTTGATTTTTATGGGTATTGTCAAACTTTTCTTTGGCTTTAGGACATGTCAACATATGCATGTAAAGGAGGAAACATTGTTATTTGTCAAAGGGTTACACGGATCGACTGATGACATGGTGGTTATAAACAATGGATACTAATAGTACATAGTAAATTCAAAGTCGATATTCAGGCATCTCTAGTTGTGTGGATAGTTTTTCTAGAAACCTTTATTCAAATGTAGATTTCATAATTTTTATAAGCCTTAACCAATTTTTAGAAAGATGAGTAGATGTAATCATATTTCGCTCATGTAACTCTCATACGAAATCTAACATTCCTTATACACTCAAAAAACAAACTCACTATTTGGTTCCTAGAACTTTAAAATTTACTACTTGATTATCCCAATTTAAATTTCTCACTAACCCAAACACATAGAAGAGAAATACCAATACAGAAAATAATAATACATAATCCCTGAGGTATCACATTCTTGATTACCAAATCCTCATTTTCGTGAACCCTAATTTCTAACAAATACTTTCTATGGAAGAATGTTAATATTTGATTAAGGATTATTTATTTTGATAAATCTGATTAAGGTAGTAAATACTATGGTCGATATAATTATCAAATGTATACATCGGTGAATCCAAGAATTTTCCTAAGAAGAGGCAAAATAAAAATTTATAACTTTTTATAGGGAACAAATATTTTTGAAGAATCAAAATATATAAATTTGAAGGGTTAAATAATATTTTTTTTTGAAAAAAAAAAACTATTCTTTAATTAATTTTCTGTGATGTGGGGGCAGTCGCCCCTACTGTATGACCGTCACCGAATGTATATATAATATGCAAGTTGAAATAATGGTTCTATTAAATTAAATAATTATAAATGACATACAACGTAATAAAATGAAAATTGAAATAGAAGATAAATTGAAAATTAAAATCAAATCAAGTAAAGTCGATATTTATTGTATTTAGCTAAGTATATTTAATAATCCAATATGTATACTGTATATTGTATTTAGCTGAGTATATTTAATGATTAATATTTTTGAAGAGTCAAAATATATAATTTTGAAAGGTTAAAATTTAATATTTTTTGAAAAAAAAAAACCTATTTTTTCATTATTTTTTTTTCTTGTGGGAACAGCTGCCCCGTTGTAAGATGGTCACTAAATGTATATATATATAATATGCTAATTGAAATAATGGTTTTATTAAATTAACGTAATCATAAATTACATAAAAACGTAATAAAATCAAAATTGAAGTAGAAGATAAATTGAAAATTGAAATCAAATCAACTAATGTTCAATGTTTATTGTATTTAGCTAAGTATATTTAATAATAACCATATGTATATGTATATCATTATATGTATCGTTTTCTTGGAATGTGACATTTAACTTCCAAGACAAACACTTTTTCCTAATATATAAAAATTATGAAAAAAAAATGATGAGGAAGAGAATTCATCAAATTAAAAGCTCTGAAAAAAATTTCCGACCAATGGCAGATCCAAAGGTGTTGAGCTCCAGTTATCAGTAACTACGTCCGAAGATATGTTTAGATCATCGTTGTTGCATATGAAAGGTTCAAAATCTTGTTGCCATGTGAAACTTGAAAGTGTGGTAGTGTCATCACTCCAAGATATATCTTGTGGCCATTCTTCATTAAGTATATCTTGTAGCTCAAGAAGGTTCGTGTTTTGAACCACAAATTCTTCAATCTCATTGTCTTCGCCTGTAAATGGAGGAACCACCATGTTCTGCAATTCAGCCTCCTCGGTGAAATCACATAGCAACATTTCAGATCCACTAGGAGAATCTTCACCCACAATCTCATCATTTTGTTGATCATCTGAACTTTGATTCAAGAACTTAGCAAACACGTCAGCAAGGTCAATATTGGCCCTTTCAGGTGACTCGTTAGCAGAGTCACCACTGTAACTCGGGTTACTAATATAACCCGTACTACCATTCCCGGTCTGTGATGACCGGGTAGGTCTGGATCGTCGATTTTTTCGACATCCACCACCTACAGGAACATTCCGAAGGGACCCACCTTTGGTCCAATACCTTCTACAACCTTTACAAAAGTATCTAGGTTGTGACAAGCTATAGTTGTTGTAGTAGCAAAACTTGGTGTTGGGTGAGGCACATCTCGGACAATTTGGTGCGATTTCAACACTAGGTTTCCACCTATTTTCGATCGGCCTTTGTGGGTAGTGTAGCATCATTTGGTCAAACATTTCTAGAGAGAGAAAGTAAAGATCGAGTATAGCTTTTTCTGAAGTGAAGAATAAGATGTATCATGTATATATACATATATAGAAATAGAGGGTTACTATGGTAGAGTAAGGTAGATGTAGAGATCATGGGCGGTTTTGAACCCGTTAACAAGAAGGAAGTACGTTAAATCTTAATCTCCTTTCACACACTAATATGTGTTTTCGGAGTTTGAGGTTAATCTTCTCATTAATTAAAAGAATGTTACGTTGTTGCATACATGCATTGACTTGTAAATTATGCATTGGAAGTTGTGCATTGGGTCTTGGGTTTGGTGATTTAAGTTATTGGGAAACGGACGGTCCCTTGTTGTGTACTTCGGATTGTGATGGATCTTTACAAGTCAAACTTTATGAAGTTGGCATTACTGTTTCTGGTGTATATTGACACAATTGCCCTTCTTTCTTCTTGTATGTGATAAAAATATTGTTTTAGTTAGTTCCTAGTTTTATTAATTTTGGAGTTTATGTTTTACGAGATACATAATAAAAAATTAGCTAACGAAACCAACATTATTTTTTTCGTTGAACCCTATTAATTGCCATTCTAATGCTCCTAACTAAAAAAATGTTGTTAGACATTTCCTAAGAACGTTTACGACCTAGTAATGTAGCAAGTATCAACAACTATGTGTTTTGGATGAGATTTAAACCCGGTCATTCATGGAGGAATGCTTACCATGTCATCATCCACAACCACTATCAGTTGATGGTTGGTACTTGGTATGCGATATGATTAATTACGTCTAAATGCATAGCATATGTTGATGTGTATGAATATACATTTGCGTTTTATATATTCTATGTGTATTTTTATATATCTCTCCAATCGGTCATTGTTTTTGCATCTTTCATGGTCCAACTTTGGAGGTCTACATGCATTCCTCTTTTTCGGCTATGTTCCTCGAGCTCTCTATAACTCCAACAGTCCCCCTTTCATTTGTTCTTGATTATGTATACGCGTATACACACACAGGCGTACACACACACAGGATGTGTGTTTTCCTTTGTTTTTTTTTCAATCTCATATATAAGAACACACATAAGAAGCTTACCCATTTTACTTTAACTAGTTGGTGTTGTTATTATTGCTTATCTTCCCCTAATAAAACTAATAAATAAATAAAAAGGAGTGCGTTTCCTCTTGTGATCACCATCTTATTCTTTTCAATTTCTCTAGGTTTATAAATAATCTCATGTGCTTCCAAATTTTTTTCGTGACTTAGATTGGTTGTCATGTAATAAAAGATGAGTAGGTGATAAACTGATCATACGGATATATATAACTTCTGGTCATTTTAGTGATTTTTTATATTATATTTTTATAAAATTTTGTTTAAAAAATGGCAAAATTGGTTGGGAGGAAGTCAAACCAGATTTTCAGAAAAAGTAAAATTATAATAATGATTATAATAAAAATAATATATAAATAACGGCATAGGGATCAACAAAGCCCAATAAACAACGAGGATTTGATTAATGGTAGGCTAGCAAATACATGTTGCACGTGCTCCTCCCTTTCCCCTCTCCTCTTACGTGGCCACCTCTACTACCTTTACTTTTCTTATTATAAATTTTGATTATACGCCTACAATTTACATCTAAAACCCTATAGAAAAATGTTTTAAAAATCGATTTTTTAGTTGAATCGGTTTGGTAATCAATTTTTGATTCAATCGGTTTCACCGTTAAATAAATTGTTTTTTATAATTTTCATTTTCTTTTTCATATTTTTCTACGTGTACATACATATATATATATATATATATATATATATATATATATATATATATATATATATATATATATATAAATCAAGAATTTGATGTCTACAAATTCAAATATTAAAAATACACATAAAAAATAAGTTGTAAATTAAATTAAATATATTAAAATAACATATAACCATATGTTTTACTTTAATCTACATGCATTAAAAAAGAAAATAAAATCCTAGATGAATACAATACATCAAAAAACTTCATAAATTTTTATTTAGAAAAATTTTAATTGATGTGAAAACACATCAAAGTTTATTATGCAAAATGTTTCAATTTCATTTGTTTGTATTCAATTTAACCGCTTCAGCCAGTTTAACCAGATTTTTGTAAAAACCTGCCGGTTTGTTCCGGTTCAGAAATAGATATAAAACCGGTAATAGTTGAACCACTTCCTTCCCGGTTCCCGGTCTAACCGGTTCGACCGACTGGTTCAAGCCCGTTTTTAAAATATTTCTTTAGACACACTGCAATACCCACCACAAAGGCATCTGTGGCCACAATCGAGGTCTTTCCGGTTATTTGTGGTTGGACGTTTTTGTTGATGGTTGTTTTGGCGAAGACGAGTGACAACGGCTAACGAAGGCAATTTGACTGTTTTCAGCTTTTGACTAGCTAGTCAACGGCCATTTTTTCAAAAAAAGAAAAAGACATTTATTAAAAAACAATCATTTAACATATAAAAATACCATAATAGACAACCTTATTTTTACACCATTATTCTCTTTTGCTATTTACACACAACTTTCTTACAACCAAACTAACTCGAAGCGGCATGATTTGAGGCTAAAAGGTACCAAATTTGGAGGAAGTTTTACAACCACCTCAACAACTTACACGAAAGTGGGTCAAGCGGTTTCGATATGTTTAAGGTAACCTTGGATCAATATGAAAAAACAACGACAACGAGCAAAGCTTTTCCATATCTCAAATTGTGGCTAAAACTGAAAGATACTCCATAATGGAAAGAGCAAACCAAAAGAAATTTACAAACCTCTTCGGGTTCAAAGCGTTGAAGACACCTCGATACAACATCACGACAATCTGACGGGTAAACACACATCAACATCAATGATAATCTAATAGATCTTGAAGACTAGCAACCTTTTTATCGACCCGGTGGAAGAAATAAAGCAAAAAAGTGGGTTCATCGGTTTCGAATATAGCGTTATCGATCATTTTGGAGATAAATTTGATTAATATGTCCAAATGTAAAAGAGCAAGACGAAGATGATGAGTTAGGTGGAAAAATATGCTAGAAGCGCAAACGTTATTTCAAGAGGCACAAACGAAGCTTCAAACAAAAATATATATGAAGATATTGAAGATGAAAGAGGACGATCTCGAAGGCGAAGACTTAGGGATACTTATCGCGATAAAATAGTATGTTCGAACCCGATATAGGAATAGGAGGTAGTTGTTTTTGTTATGTTTGGAATTTTTAGGTTTTATTTAACGTTGCATTTTTTTAATTGATGTAAATTTTTTTAATGTAATGTGGTATTCTAATTCAATGAAAATACTAGTATAAATGTTTTTAATGTATTTTTAAATTAAAAGAAATTGATGTATGAATGGTGTTTTAGTGGTAGGTATCTCATGGTTTTAGTGGTAGCATGTGGTAATGAGGTGACATCCATCATTATAATGGTTAATAGTGGGTATTTTTGTAGAACAACAGAAGATTTTATTGAAAACTAGCAAGAAGGTAGAAAAAAACACATTACAACAAAATATAAACTAAAACATGATTATGAAGCCAATCAGTCCAAACAAGCTTATCTTTACTACACCAATTGGAAAAAAACGTCATTTCAACAATATCATCGAAAATAAGAGATTTCGTAGGTAACACCATTCCAAAGATGGTGGAATTTCGAAAGTTACAGAGACACCAAAAGGCCGCTATCACCACCGCATCAAAAACCTTATGTTGACGTGTCTCGAATGAAGAGAATTAGACCATGAGAGGAGATCAGAAACTGTAAGATGCTCAGGCAACTAAACATCCCACCAAATAGAAATCTTGCTCAAATTATCAATCATCTTCATACATCCTGCAAAAATATGATCAATAGTCTCAACAAACGTATGTCACACTGGACATAAAATCGACTGCACCTTACCCCGTGATACGATAATCTCTCCCTAGTATGGATACTCTCCGATCTAATCCTCCAAGTAGGAAATTGAGATAAATAGCAACCCAATTATTCCACCTTGTCTCAACACCATGGAAAAGGAGCATGCTAGAATGAATAATAGAACAAGCCACAAAAACAGAAAAAACATCTGAGGTATCAGCAAGCCAACCCAAACTGTCCATTCTGTCCTCCAAATGATGGTTTTTCATAGTCTCCGAAAAAAACATCCCACTGGATTTTCTCTATTCCTCCCCTAGGAAAATGATGAAGAGTTCCTGGGTCCCAACTTATACCAACTCGATCCCTGATAGTAGCAAATTTCTAATTATCCAAGGCATAAATCCTATGAAGAGCAGTTGCAAGGGGGTTGTCAAGTAACCATTTTTCATGCCAAAAACTCGTAGAAACATCATCTCCTACCTTAAAAGGGCATACAGAAAGAAGGTCAATTCTATGACCTGTAAGATCCACAAGCATGTGAATAAGATTATTCCAAAGCCTAAAAAACAAACCACACGAAGAAAGAGAAGAAAAACCACCATCAACTCCGTAAACGGATTTGACAACCCTTAACCATAGAAGATCAAAATGATGAAAGAATCTCCACCGCCACTTAAACATCATAGCTCTGTTAAAATCAAAAAGACTTCCAACTCCAAGATCATCAACCCTTCTAGAAGCCATAATTTTTTTCCATCTCACCCAATGCATCCTTCTATCGTTAAGGTTAGCTCCCTAAAAACATATGACCGTCAAAGATTCTAATTCATGAATAATTGTAACCAGAGTTGGGAACATTGACATAAAATAGCTACTCAAAGAACCTAACACCAATTTGATGAGAGTAAGGCGACCACCAAAAGAGAGGCATTTAGCCTTCCATTTCGCAAGCATGTTGCAAAATATATCAGTAATAGGAGCCCAAGAATTCACCCGGTCCATATTTTGACCGACTGGAACCCCAAGATGAGTAAAAGGTAAAAACTCATAAACACAACCCATGGTATTAGCCACTTCTACCACCTGAGAAGAATGAATTCAAGCACAAATCAATATACTTTTATCCAGGTTGATTTTGAGACCCGAAGCAAGAAAAAAACATCTAAGGATACAGATAATACGAGTAGCATCATCCAGACCCCAATGAGAGAGAATAACAACATCGTCTGTATAAAAGAGATGAGATATTTCTATATCACCAATAGAAATACCCCTAAAAACACCTATCACCCAAGCTCTAAGAAGTGCCACATCAAGACTCTCCATAGCCAAAATGAAAAGAAAATGGGAAATAGGATCTCCCTGCCTCAATCCTCTTTGAATACAGAATTCCTAAGTAGGAGACCCATTGACCAGAACTGAGGCTCGAGTAGAACTCAACATCTCCATGATCCACCCACACCACTTAGCCCCAAAACCCATAATGCTTATAATTTCAAGAAGGTAGTCCTAAGAAAGAGAGTCATAAGCTTTCTCAAAATCCAATTTAAAAATCGGCATAAGAGTTTTAGAATCTTTACACCACGCAAAAACCTCATTAAGTAGGAAAGGGCAATCTAAAATATGTCTACCCTTTATAAAAGCAGGCTGTTATGGAATAACCATAGACCCAATAACCACCGCCAATTTGTTAGCTTAAAGTTTACCAATAATCTTATATTGGCAACCAATTAAAATAATGGGTCTATAATCACAATCAGACTTCAGGTTTTTGACTTTAGGGATGACAGTAAAGAAAGAAGCATTGCAACCTTTAGGGATAGACGATTTTGAATGAACATGAGTAACAAAAGCCACTAAATCATCCTCCAAGACATCCCGATATCTCTTTATGAATCCAAAAGTAAAACCATTCGGTGCCGGAGCTTTAGAAGAACCACAATCCCAAACCGCTCTTTTGATTTCATCTCTAGTAAAAGGGGCCTGAATAAATTGTAAATCAGACCCCAAAAGAGAAGAGAATGAAGAAGCATCAGTATTAGGTCTATTCCCTTTCTGGTGAGAGAACAAATACTGATAGAAATTCTGAAATTCGGCTTTCACCCGCCCTGGATCATCCACCCAAATACCATCACTATACACCCCACGAATTGTCATTTAACTTATCTTTCAATTGTCAACACCATGAAAATAACTCGAATTCTCATCCCCTTCTATACCCCCAATGAATCTTTTCCTTCTGAGCTATATCAATATTAGAAATATGATCTAACTCATTTATCTCCTTTTGAACAGAGACCCGTTGTTCACACAAAACCGACGAACTATCATTGAGCATTAACCGATAATCAATGGATTCAATAATCACCTGCAAATCTTTTCTTTTTTATACCAACCGGTCCTGAGAAGAGAAATTCCACAATTTAATGTTATATTTAAGAGCTTCCAATTTTTTCTTAAATATAACCCAATGATTATTAGCCTCCACAACCTGAGGCCCAAGAATGTCTCACCATACCATCAAAACCATCCATATCAAACCAATACTGAAACACCGTAAAAGGGGAAGGGCCATAATCGACAATATGCTCCAAAAGAAGAATATGATGATGATACAAGATTTTTTTCTCCAAAACCATACCAAAAAGATGAGGAAAATGCCCAAGTATACCGTCAGTAACCAAGAATCTATACAGTTTACTAAAATTTGATCCCCATTTATTGCTCCAAGTGTACCTAGGACCTCCCAAAGGAATATCAACCAAGTCAGTTTGCTCAATAAAATTATTGAACAATTTTGCATTCACCTGATTAAATTGGGAACCCCGTCTTTCCGGTTCATTTCTAACAACATTAAAATCTCCCATAATAATACGTTCACCAGAAAAATTCGAGATCAAATGGAGGAGTTGGACCCAAAGACATCGCTTACTTTCCATATCTCAAGGAGCGTAAAATGAAATAAACATAATATTAAGGCCCAAATTCCTCCAACTCGCCTCTACCAACACAAATAAATCTGAAATCACAATGCTATTATGAGAAATAACGTTTGGATTCCAAATGGTAATAATACCACTCGAAGCACCACGAGAAGGAGAAAAAGCATTGGAAAAACACACCGAAGTCCACCTTAGGCATTTTCGATTCGTGGATAGATAAAAAAAAATTGACTTTATGTTTATGGAAAAGAGATTTAATCCAAACCCGCTTAACTCTACAACCCACTCCTTGAATGTTAATTGAGATATAAGTCATATCTCTAGGTTATTTTTCACTGACCTTGTACAATTTTTTATTACCCGATCAAAGCACACATCCATTGTATAACCCAAATATCTACCCATCTCCTATTTTTTTGGGAGATGAAACCTTATCCTTTTGATTCAACTTAGTTGAGACCAATTCTTGCATGGGATCTTTACCATTTTTTCCATTCACTTCTTCACATGGATCAAGAATACCGCTTTTAAGAGTTCCACCTCTATTAACTTTTTCTTATTATTAAGATCATCATCTTTTTCATATTATCCAACTATCATAAATGCCAAATGGGTCCTCAGAAACATATTTGTTATCATGGTTAGATTGAAATTCTTCATCTTCATCAAAAGGGCCTTGTGCTTCACGGTTTTCCATGGTAGATTTAGGAAAATAAGAAGAGACATAAGGTGCCTATCCCGAAGCTTCTTTGATGTGAATAGTAAAAACTAAATCATCAACCTTGATCTTAATGTCTTCCGAAATAATTCCTTGGAATATGGTCAAAATACAAATCTGGTTCTTATAAACATCTTCACTAAGATAATCGTCAAGATGAGCAATATACCCCCACTTAGCTAGACTTCTTCTAAAAGCATCCTTACTCAATGCATGGAGAGGAACTCCTTCGATATCTCGCGACACAAGTCTTTCAAGAGGAGTAAAATTCCTATCCCGCTCTTGTTTTTCAACAAACCAATGATTCAAACCATCATAAGTCATGAAATTTGTGCATGCCTCTTTCACTTTGAATTCAATCATAACCCAATACCCACCAGCATATCTTAGATCAAAATCTTCAAAACCTTCATCATAGCAAAGCATACGAATATTTGGTAATGAGTAGAAATCTCTAACTTTAACCAGACAATCACATTTTCTCTTTTCCACTATAAAATCACCAGACGGAATGACTAAAATGTCATCAACATGAGTCTTAATCCAATCACCACGACCATTAGGTGGCCATTTAACAACACTTGCATAAGAGTTATCCGGGGATATCATTTCTCCACTTTGGACGAAACCCTACGAGAATGAGGCATTGGAGATTCTGATTTCAGATTTCCAGGGTTCATAGCTCTAGGGAGGGAAACAAAAAACTTATGGTAAGTAAACCAAAGATCACAAAGTTATTGAATTATAACATCATTACTAGTCACACCGGAGAACCGAACAAAGCGAAATCTTTTACCTAATCGTGACCTCTTATTAGATATAAAAATATAAGTGATTTTTCCAATTCAATCACAATCATGCCATAAATCTCTTAGGATTATGTAATATGGGAGATTTGTATTGTAGAAGGAATGAATATTAGGGCTAACACGTTTTGAGTGAAAAACATGATCACGATACTAAACATTGGAATTATGGTTGGATTGTCGAGTCTTTGTCCATGAATCAGAACCCATCACGACGACATGCTGGGAGGATACCGTGGTAGGTAATATAGATGACATTAATTCAAAAAAGTTGAATATACCATAACTTGTACTAATTATGAGGAGTATCTTAACAAATTTTATAATTTCCCCAAAACTATTGTGTACATTTATATTTTAACAAGAAGACGAGGTTTAAGAGAAACTAATTTATCTGTTATATGTTTATTGTTTAGCCATAAATATTTATCAAACACTTGGTATTTTTAGAAACAAGAAAATACTCAAATAGTCCACTAAAACCTAAAGGTTTTGATACCATTTGTTGAAGTCCTTAAACATATCCAAATACCATTAATAAGTGTATAAAAATCAACAATCAAAACATATAATAAATTAGAATACATGGTATGATAAAATATCTAATAAATTAGAGCAACATGTACCATGATATCAAATACATACATATGAGAAATAAACATACGAGACATGAACATTTATATGGTACCATTATGTATATCCACCGGAGAAATAAGAAACTTGTAAATATTGATCAACGAAAATTAAGCTTTACAAATTCATTAGTGTGTTAACGAATAAAGATAGGAGAAATAAAGAATTAAATCTAGATCTAAAAGGACCATGTTAGCTATTTTAACCCACCACAAATGATTTCCAAAGGTGGAGACCATCTCGTAGGGAAAACGTGTTCATCTACAGATATGCCTCATGCACGCTTGAGGACTTATAGTCAACAATTTTGTGATTTTGATGCGAGACGAAGAGTCAATGACTATATTGTAGAGCATTAGGTCACTATAATTGAATTCTCCATGAGAGCTATGGATCTTGGCCCAAACCAGCAGCCAAGTTGTGTGAACCTCCAATTGATTTTCTTTATGCAAGTTCTCAAATAATTGTGGATATAATTGTGTTTTTCAACATTAAAAAGTATCAATGGGATTGAATGTGAAATATAAAATTATTTAATTTCGTCTTTTAAAAATATTCCTAGTGTTAAGTGTAGAGTTTGATATAAAAAAGCAATGTATAATCCTATAAAACTACAACCTATTATCATTCAATTCGCAAAAAAATCATTATTTTATTCTTTTGTACAATAAATCGTTTTATGTTTTGATCATATATAAAATAATATTATGTCATTGGAAAACCCTTGACATCCGGTTACCTAGCCAACGTGGCTTTAGAAAAACTCAACAAATTATCTCTTCAGAAACACCTTTCCAGAATTACAGAATACCTATATATCCTTTAGAAACCATCCTAAGTTTCTAATAATTATGTTACAAATTATTTGCAAACGAAAATGATTTAGACCATAAGTATTATATTCATACTCTCACCATTTATGCAAATGGAGCATGCTTAGCACATCAATTACTACAATCTCGAACATGCCAAGAATCTAAAGATATGCTTGGCCGTATGTTGGGCTATTATGCTTCAAAATTATAGAAGGTCTTATCACCGTAACTCTTTTTGCTTATCAGATTGCTTTGCGATGATAACTATTATATAATTTTAATGCATAATAGTCTAGCATAGTCCTGGTAATATCTCCAAATATTGGGAGCATTCAAGCTCGTAGCCATCATGACACTAAGTTGTTAGGTGCATTTTATGCACCTATTTTGCATATTCCATCTTTTCGCCGCATTTTAGTTCTTAATTCTTGAATTTAGTTAACAACTAGGGCACTTGCATGTTTTATTCGGAATGTTTGGTACTTCGTCATTTTTAATTATTTTGTAGGCATTACGGGTACATGGAACATAGATCATGGAGCTTGGATGATGAACCATGGAGCATAGAGAGAATACGGATCGGTTAGGTCGTGGTAGAAAACATGAAGATATAGCTAAAGTCGTTGCACACTATCATAACAAAGGATTGCGTTTAAAATGCGGTCTATGTTACATCGATATGGATAGTGTTTGTCCTTTTCATAATATATTTGAGTAACACGACTTAGGTTGAAGTTTGAATGAAGACGAGGTAAAGATTAAATGCCAATTGAATTTTAGAAAAAAGCACAGTCGTAAGCCCAAAAACACGATTATTGCCAAAACTGTAATGCTTGATTTCCCAGTATGATTTTAATTCCAAGTTATTTATGTTTTTCTTTGGGACATGGCATGTTGTGGCCTCAACACGATGCGTCAAGATGTTTTTGGCCGTGGAGTTTAATGAACCAACACGACATGTTGAGGTGCCTCAACACGGCATGGTGGTAGCTTGGGAAGGAAACCCTAAATTTTAGGGTATTGCACCCTAATTAAAGGTCTTATGTCCCCTTGACCGGCCTCCTTACTAGCCTCCTTATTACCTAAAGCCCTAAATTGAATATTGAGCCTTCTTGGTGGTGTTCTTGAGGTTTTAAGTGGATCCTTGTGGATTTTTGTGTCCCTTTGAAGGAGCTTTGGAGTTTGAAGGTACCAAGCTTGGAAGGAAGGCCATAGATCTAAAATCTTACAACTTGTTGCAGTCTCCTTGAGGTATCAATTTCATACATTGCTTTTTTTGTTGATTAGATCTTCTTTTATGGGGTTTTAATATGGTTTTTGGCTTATTGTTAGGTTGTCTAAAGAGTTATGTTGTTTCATGGGTTGTCCTGTTAGATCTAAGCGTTTTGTGACCTCCTTTGGCTTAAAGGTGAAAGATTTATAAGATTCTAGGTCTCATTCATGCATTAAGTCCTTTATTAAGCCCTTATTGAGCTTTAGAGCTTCTATTTGGAAAGCATTAATGTAAATTTGGCAACTTTACGTGGTCATCCAGCTCTAGGGTGTCAGATCTGCATTTTGGGGCTATGTCTTGAAGATTAAGAGCTTAATGGTTAAGTCATCTCTCTTTCTCTCACTCTCACTCACTCACTCTCTCTCTCTCTCTCTCTCTCTCTCTCCCTCCCTTAAGCCTATGGTTTGGGTTTTGGACCCATTTTAGTGGTCCCTAGGGGTAAAGTTGGAAACTTTACCCTTCTAGATATCATTTTGGTCAAGATTTGAGCTTTGGAGGTCTTAGATTCGATGAAGTCAACTTAATGCATTAAGTTGTTGGATTTCAGTCGAATACGACGTGTTTATTGGTAAACACGGCATGTTGGCTTGGTTTTTCCCCGACATTGTAAATGATGGAGAAACATAACGTGTTAAAGGATAACACGGCGTCTTGGGTCAACACGAACTATTGACTTTGACATTTGACATTTGTCTTTGACCAAGTATGACATAAGAGGTACTTGAGGTCATCTATGATGTATCTAAGGATTGGTCGCTATTTGTTGTTAGGTGGTGGGTAGAGCTGATATTCGGAGTCGGGAACTATTCAGCTATCGTTCGGATTTCTAGGTGAGTTTCCTCACTGGGTTTTAGTGGGTGTAAGGCACCAATGCTGACCCTTATTGATTATGTTAGGGTGCTAGGGGTCTACGTGACCCTTGCATGTGTTATGTGCTACTATGTATACCAGGCAGGGCTCGATGCCAGGCGAAGCCTGAGGACTGGAACATATGCTAGTGTTTATGATCATTTTATGTGTTAGCATGATTATGTGATATTGATGGTTTGTATATAGCAGGTGAGGCCTAAGAATAATATATCTATATACCGAGCGGGGATCGATGCCGATCGGGGCCCGATGCCAGGCGAGGTCCTACTGTATGATTTATTATGTATGATATGGGGTAGTTTAGGGAACTCATTAACCTTTGTGTTTACGATTTTCAGTTTATGGTTCAGGTACTTCTAGTTGCAAAACAAAAGCTCTGGTTGACTGCATTGCACACACCATTAGGATTCCACATATGATGTTTTACTCTGATTTTTATGACATTTGATACATTGGTTATTTGAGATGTATTGATGATATTTGGAAATACTATTTTATCTATTTTAAAAATGAAATTTTTGGGACCGTATTTTGGGATGTTACAAAAACTCACAACCAAACAGCACTGTGGTGTGCTTTTTTGACGGCGGTTACCACTTGTGCTAAATTAGAGGAAATTGGCTCATTTTTTACATAAACAGTTTTTGGAGTACTTTTGGGCGATTTTTGGAGAATTATGAATGCTTCTAATCATTGCAAAGACTTGGATTATTAGTGTGTAAGCATTAAACACTTTCAATTTCATCATTTCGTTAGATTTGTTTTTAGCCATGTATGGCTAACAACCCTCGTTTCTAGTTCTAGTTCAAAATATGTTGATCGTTTGATTTGATATATATGGCTTGATGTTTGGTTTATGATTTTATTCTAGTGATTATGTTCTTGTTTTAACTACAATCCTTGAATTTGATTTATGTTTGACTGGCCATGTATATGTAACAAGCAATATGTTTTCTTATTGTAGAACATATATCATATGTTTTCACACTTCTGAGCATATAAGAAGAAATGAACATTGTTGTGAAGCTTATACAAAACTTAATGTGGATTTTCAATAAAATCTAAGAGTGTATTTATGTTGAATTAGTGAAGCTATGTTTAATCAAAGAGTGTGTGTTGATTAGATAATTTGGCAAGCGAGAAATATTAGAGCATGTTAGTATCTTTCAGTACCAACATAGAATAATGATCATGAATTACATCAATGCATAA